TTAATGAAAATAGAATTGGTGCCAACAAACGAAAAATAAAGAAAAATATTATTTCATATAAAGAAAATTGAACTTAAATCCATACTGAAGTTCATTAGCAATTTTTAGCCACAAAATAATATTTTTAATTTATTTTATTTCTAAAAAATATTTAACTGTGTGATAGGAGTCACCTAGTTTCTAATAATAAAAAACAAATATGTTGCTTTAGTTAAAAGGGAACGAAAATATATATTTTGGTTGATAAATCTAAAATATATTTACAATGTATCAAGATAATTTTTTAAATCGTTAAAAAAATTTGTTCGTGAACTAGCTCACGACTCATCTGAGTTGGCTCGCATAACTCGTCAACTCATTTAAACTCGATCACTTAACTTATTTATTGAGTCTAAAAAACATAATTTGAATTCGCGTAAAGCCGAGTTAAATCAGCTCTAATGTCTCATTTGACACCTCTAATTTTCAATGGGTAAAATTAAGGTTTTAAGAACCTCAAGTCTGACTCATTCCTAGGAAAAAGCAAAAAAACCCTTATCATTCGCTGAAATTCACCAAACTTCGTGAACTTGTGGTGAATAATGAACTTGAGAGGCTCGAGTCAAATTTCGCATCAGAAGTGAGATGGAACTTAATATATAACGTAATAAGCCAAACTTGAAGGTTTTTAACCCTTTTCCCCTGTTTCAGTGAACCATTAACATAAGTCCAAAGTTAATCAATAATTAAAGGAAAGTGAAAATGAATCCAATAAAGAGTGTCAAGATATAATCCTAAAATGTGGACTGGATTCGATTCCACACGATGTTCCAAGCCTTAAAGACAAAACCAAAACCAAAACCAAAAAAGTTAAAATGAAAATCCATCTTCTGCTTGAAGATGGTTCTTCTTATAGCTTAGAATCGAAATTTCTACAACACAGGAAACGCAGGAGAGATGCTCATAGCATCTCTTGCGATCTTCTTACACAGCGACTCACTTTCTTCCTAAACTCTGCTCTGTTGTCTCTCCATTCTTTTGCAGCTTCCACATTTGCCGGTGACTCGTCGTTAGGACCCGAGAGCATAGATATGATACTCAACACAATGCTTTCTACCTGCATCATACAGAACTCATTAGCTTTCAGTCATACCTAATCAAGAGAGAGA